TTTTGTAGGGTGCCACAAGTTTGTTAAAATTTCCAAAGGGTGCCGCGACTAAAAAAAGGTTGGGAAACACTGGTTTAGACAACCATCTCTCTTCAATTCTCAGGGCCACATACACTTACACACACACACATAACTATCTGTCTCTGATTTTGCTCAAGGATTCTGTTACACTTGTTCGTCTCTTGGAAAATTCTGACACACTCGACACAGCTGGCAAGCACATTCACTTTCTCTCTGTCTTTTAGAGTAAGATCCACGCAGCACGCAGTCTGAATGAGATAGCCATAGACCTGACAGAAACAGGAACCCTCAAGACCTCCAAACTGGCCAACATGGGCAGCAAAGGCAAAATCATCAGCGGCAGCAGTGGAAGCCTGCTGTCCTCAGGTCAGAACACGCACACACAATCACACAAAACAGGTGCGATTACAAGATCACTTTCTTCCTGTTTACAGCTATGATCCGGAAATTACGTCCTGACACGATTATAAAGTGTTCGTAGTTTGAAATTTTTGGAGCTACTTAGGGGACATTAGGGGAAAATTATGAGATGTGAGGAAAAATGTGTGTTCTCTTGCAAAAGTATTGCGTTTCCTGACAAACTTTGCATTCGCTCTCAAATATTTGTGCAACAATATTGTGTTGCCCCGAGAAACTTTGCATTCACTCACAGTCCCCCGAGAAATTTTGTGCAAAACATTTGCATTCTCTTGCAACAGTATTGTATTCCCCGAGAAATTGTTCGTTCACTCGCAAAACATTGTGTTCTCTCACAAAACGATTGTTCCCCAGAGAAACTTTGCATTCTCTTGCAAATGTTTTCTAACATGTTTTTTTTGGGGGGGGGGGGGGCAAAGCTATTGCGTTTCCCTAGCAAACTTTGTTTTTGCTCACAGAACTTTTGTGAAGAGGATGCAAAAACATTGAAATATATTTTTTCCTCCCATGTCCCTTTAAGGGCTCTGTAGAAATGTAGCATTGCATCTGCAACTATAGTGTTAATGGTGAGTCGGCAATGATGTGGGGCCGGTTGTAAAGGAACTTAAAACAAGGCCGACAAGCTTCGGTCTTGTAGTGTGCACTTGGCTTCAAACACTCTGTCCTGTTATGTGTGTGAATCCATTGTTTGTGATCTCATGGTGATGATGATGTCATACACTGGGAGTTTTGGGGTGTGGGCATGTGTGCAAATTTTCTACGAGGTGAGAGTGAGAATAGCTTGTCTTGATGCTGGTTTTGGACTCCTGCCGCGGTGTCAGGTATCATGAATTAAATGTGCTCGTAGCAGGACTCCTCTGGTGTCAGTCATATGATCTCCCTTTCATCTGAGCCATGTGTCTTCAGCCTCTTAATCACTGACCACACATGAGAGATTAGATCATAGTGGAGGCTTGGACAGTCACTGCATTTTGGAGTTGTTTGCTTTGGTTATACAGCATGAAAATGAACCAGCATTTGCAAACCATTTTACTTCTGTGATCTGAAGCATTTCCGAATGAATTTGGTTATTCAAAGAGAGAAACTGTAGAGTAGGACTGTAGAGTTGAGGCTCAGTTATGTCATCTGACAAGGAATGTTGCTTCAGAAGCAAAGCAAGGAAGTAATTTAGAAGGGTTTTTTTTCTTCTTTTTTTGAAAAGCATGCATGAATTGTGCACAATAAGCCCAGACAAGGCATTAAGTAAACAAACAAAATCAATTTTGCTTTTACATCGACTTTAAACTTGCTTTTCAGTCTTGTCGACGCTGATAGCCTAGTGGTTATTGCGTTGACATATAGCACAATTGTGCTCACAGCGACCCGAGTTCGATTCCCGTCTCTAGGTCCTTTGCCGATCCCGCCCCCCTCTCTCCACCCAATACTTTCCTGTCAGCTCTCAACTGTCCTATCTAATAAAAAAAGGCATAAAAGCCCCAAAAAAATATTTAAAGGTGCCATAAAATGCATTGATACAATATTTTAAATTGTTCTCTGATATCTACATAGAAGGTATGTGGCTTTGGTAAGGCAAAAAATCTCGAGAAACGGTTGAAGCGAATCAGCTCACAGGGAAATATGAATAATTAATCATAACTAGTTATAATTAATTATAAATATTTAGATCCGCTGTAAGTATTTACTTGACCTCTCAGGGTCAACTGTCTGTCAATTCTAAGAACGTTAATTTCCTGGTTAAGGGAAATAGAGGATATGTGTGTTCATTCATAGAAAGGTTTTCCTATGAATTAATTAGAGAAGAGTCCATTTTTACTGTGCATTGTGTCTCTTCCTATGGAAAATATACTGATTTTCTCTACCCGCATTCCTTTGGGCAATAACACCAGTGATATCAGCGTTGGTTGCCATGGTGAAAAGGGGCCTGGTGTCTTTCTGAGGTGTTAATGTAATTATACTGTATATAAAATGTGGACATCAGGGAGCCACTATTAATATGCGGGGCATTGAAACTAGAGCCCGACCGATATGGGTTTTTGGGGGCCGATACCGATATTAGGGGGTAAAAAAAGGCCGATACCGATATATCGGCCGATATTCTTTGTGTATATTATAGTACAGTACCAGTCAAAAGTTTGGA